TTTATTGGTCACATATTCTAAATAGTTGGTCACATTTACCAAATACCCCCATTGCAGATTTCAATCCAGCACCAAATTTGGTCACAAATCACCACCGCGCAATTGCCGCTTGCATCACACCATTGACTGCAACGTACCAACACCAATTCAACAAAAAAAAAAAAAACCACCACCACCATCGTCGCCTACACTGCACCACCACCAATTCAAATTGTGCATAGTTAACACCACCACCAATCAGATCAGACCAGCACCACCATCGCCCCCGCTACCCATCGCATCCACAACTACCGTCGCCACTTCCGCGACCACCATCACCACCTTACCATCACCAACCAACATCACAGTCACCATCACCCAAAAAGTAAGTGAAAACCCACCACCATTGCACCCAAACTCCCATCCAAAACCACCATCACTAGAACAACAACCAACTAGATCTAATCACCTCCACCATATTGCCAAAACCACCGTCGCTAGAACCACACATCACAACCAACTCAACAGATACAATCGTTGAGACCATCGCATCACCATCCAAATCCACCCCAGCTAGAATTACAACCTACCAGATCCAATTACAACCACCACATTACCAAAACCACCGTCTGCAAAACGGACTTTGTAAGTGCAATAGATAGAATAATCGCTACAACCATTAATGACACAGTTTTTATATTACTGCTTTGGAAGCTAATATTTGTAATAAGCCAAGAAGGTGACTCGGAGGGATAGCAAGTTGCTACTTCATCACTACCTCAATAGTTCCAATTGACTGTAAGCACTGCGGAACTATCCAGAATCGAATCCCATCAACTGTAGTCATAGTGGCATCACCGCACTTGCTACGAACCACCAACTCCATCAGCACTACCACGATCCACTAACGCCATCAGCAGCGCCGATTGCGCACGACAGCGTGATGAATGGCAACATCGCTGCACGTAGAGTGATAGAGATGCAACTTTTTGCGAGCAATGTGATAGAGAGACTGCACCATCTCCAGATCACGTAGCAGTAGATCGCAGTAGCATCATAAAGGGTGCTCTCCGACGACGGCTTCCAGCTTCGACTTTCGTCATTGTTGAAGTTTCTGCTACTCATTGAGGAGAGTAAGAGAGAAATAATGGGATAAAATGATTTAGGGATTTCTCGTGGATGTTGAATTTGGAATATAATTATTAATCATAAAATATTAAATTATTACATGATTTCTGATTAAATATGTTTCATACCCGATTTTTGAAGTGTGATCTTTAAATACCTGTAATGGTGTAATTTTCCCTTTTTTTTTTTTATCTTAGATAGAAACTGGACCTAGCTAAACTATTTTACATCGTGTAGTTTTGTATGATTATGAGACTTGGAACGATAAATATGAGGAAATTACATGAAATCCTATATTTTAATTTTACATTTGAAAAATCATGATTCAAATAAAATTTTTCAAATGTCAAGTATCAATACAAAATCACCCTACCCCAAACCATACAAAAACGAGACCTTACCCAACATCACCCTACCCCACACAACCCAAACCTTATGTATATCTGTTATCTATACCTACTCTGGCCACCTCGAGGATGGTCGCACCCGACTTCGACTACAACATCCAGAAGGAGTCCAATTTCCATCTTATTCTTCGCCTCTGATATAGTGCTAAGAAGGTGATATAGATGAAAAAAATCTGCCATCCTTCTCGTTCATCTAGTGGTCGACGCAGTGATGAACACCGCTGTAGACGCAAAATGCATTTCTCGTTGGTGATTCTTCTTCTCCACAGCTGTGTTCTCTTGCACGGATGCCAATCAATTCGACTGAGTCAAATCAAAAGTCGATCTGATCTAATTTCTTGACCTCCACAATGAAGGATTCCTCTTAATTAATGATTGCGACTTCAATAATTTGAGGTAATGGTTGAGATATGGGTATTTTAAGCTGTGGATGCTATGGGTAGGGACGTGTTTACCTTGAAATGCCGATGCGGGGTTGAGCATGGATAGTTAGGAGAAAGTGAAGAGTGGAAAATGGTAGCCATTATAGAGAAGCCGAAGGTGAGAACATGATTGTAGACGAAGGTAATGGTAACATAATAGTGGTGGATTGTTGTTATAAATTTGAGATAATTGTTGTTGTGGATTTGACATTGTAGGGATGATTGTTATTATGGATTTGAGGTGAAGGTATTATTTATGGTTGTGGATTTGAGTTGAAGGTGGTAGTGGTGATGCATTGGAGGTTATGATGGTGGTGGCTGGTAGCGCTAGTCCACGATGTATGCAGATTTATTTGTGGTGATCATATGTGATCAACTATATGTTTATTTTTATGATTGGTTATGATCAATTCTGTGTTAATTGTGACTTAATTACATACCATCACAGTTAAGATTGACCTGATCACAGATAGATACGTTCAAATATATGTTTATTATGACTAGTTGTGATCAATTTTGTGTTGATTGTAACTTAATTATATACTGTCACAGTTAAGATTGACCTTATCACCGATAGATACATTAAAGACAAATTTGATCACATTTAGTCATCTTGAAGATAAATTTGATCACAGTTAGTCATAGATAACACATGTTAGTGACTTGGTTACATACAGTCACAGACAATCACACTAAAAATAAATTTGATCACAGTTAGTCATAGATAACATATGACTCGATTACATACAATCATAAATTAGACAGTCACAGACAATTACACTGAAAATAAATTTGATCACAGTTAATCACATATAAACACAAGTTAATGACTTGATTACATACAGTCACAAATTAGACAATCACATTAAAGACAAAGTTGATCACAATTACTCACATATAACACAGACTTGGTAAAAAAAATCCAATCACAAATAACACAGTTAGTCACAAGTTAGTGATGCTTCCGTGGGGTGGTTCTAGCGACGACGGGGGTGGTGGTGCTGCTGAGGCAATAGTGAGATAGTGATTGCAAGTGTTGGTCACAAATTATTTGGTTGGCTATGACCATTAAATTTTTTAATTTGTGACCAATATACAATATGTGAATAGTGAAAAAGATAAATGGTGGTAAAAAAAATAATGTGTGACCTAAAAAATTGTTAATTTGTGTTAGATAATTTGATAATTTGTGATTGTATAATAAGTTGTGACTTATAATATTTGTAATTTGTATCGATAAATAAATTGTGACTTATAAATTTTTTATTTGTGACCAATGAGCAAATTGTGAGTTATAAAATCTTTGAATCATGATCGTAAAATAATTTTGTGACATATAAAAAATTATGATTTCTGATAAAAAATAATATGTGACTAACTAAATCGTTAATTTGTAATCAAATTATATAGATCTATGACATTTATATATTTAATCAATAAAATATATAATTAACCAATTAAATCATAAATAAATTTCAATAGATATCTGATTTTTAAAATTTGAAACTTTTGTTCTTAATTTTGAAATATGTGATACTTAACATCTTAGTAATGAATTTTTCCCTTTCACATTTAGCAATATGAGGAAAGTGGCATCATTTTATAGCTGAAACTTTGTAGGTCTAGAAGTTACATGTCGCGCTATTCACGATCTGATTATCCTCCATCAGGTTGAGTACCAATAGAAAAAGAGGTGGTGAGAGGCTCAAATTTTGTTTTTATCAGATGGAGCAACAGTAGGAAGACTAGTAAAAAGAACCATTTGTCCTTTCGAGCATAATACGGAGCAATTAGAAGGGAAAATCCTAAACTAATTAGAAAGGAGAATAAATAAGAAGGATTTACAAAGACATAATTAATTTTCAGCTTGAGTGTCAATTTACGTAAGCGGCGTACATTTCGAAAGTATTTTTCGATTCTGCACAATTTTGCTGGGTGACATTCTGAGCAATATCATCAAAATTTGGTGATCAATTTCATCGTTTAGGAGGTTCATTTTAGCAATTTCCTATTTTGATGAGTTTAAAGGTAATTTTGTCTTTTTTGCAGTATTTTAATTTTATTCAGATTTATTTTACAATTTTTTTTATTTAGATTTGTCTTCAAAATTCGGATTTCGATTTGATTAAAATTTGTTTTTTGTATTTAAATATATGTTAAGGTTATGAAAACTCTACATTCATTTTGATTAATAATATTATAGCTTCTCACATTATTTGATAAATTTCAGTAATTTTCACATACTTTTGAGCGAAAATTGAGCAATATCCGTTCGTGTATGACGAACAAGAATCTTTACTTAGTATTCACATTTTCGTCTGCGTCAAGGCAACACCACATTGCAGCTGATGCTAATCACCAAGCAACTCGTCATCAAGTTTGTTTTGATCCCTTTACAGACGAGCCTTACAAATTCGATCTTTCGCTGGTGAACCGATTCGTCAACGGGCTATATGCCAGCTCCCTTCTAAAGACTTTTTTCTAAGTAACATGAGCAAACATATTATTATATATGCTAGTGATCAATGTTCAAAATGATCTATGTTATCACAAACTGATTTGTTTATTATGCAACCTACCTTATTAGAATCCTCGGCTTCACAAGTAATCTAATCTGGTATTGGATGCAATAAAGAACCTTAATCCATCTAAAAAAGGAAGATGAAAGCCGACCAGTTGTTTCAACTTTCAAGAAACTTCAGACTACATTGTACTACTTTATACCCAAGTTTTAGTGTTGTAGAAATTGATTTATTTTTATGGGTTTCAACCTCAAGATGCCCAAAATGAAAATGCCGTATAGATCACATGCAAAAAATTTGCATAGCTGATGGCAGGGGCGAATCCAGCGTGAACGTTCAACTATGGCGGATGTTGACTTTGACCGTTGACTATCGACAATCAACGATCGTAAAAGTCAGGGCCAATTAGCTGTTGGTTGTTTATTGATTTAATGAAAATGATTTAATCATCCATGTGTCAACAGTTTTATTCAATGACAACCAAAGGTTAAGACCAACAAAGAGTTTTATGACGACATAAGAACAAAAATAAAATATAAACATGAACCTAAAATAATAGTATTAAATATAGAACATTAAATAATCAGATTAGAAAATACAATAAAAACAGTGAGATAATCCAAAATCAGCATCATCCATTGGAGTTGGTATTTGTGGGGTCAAGAATTTCAAAACCAATTTGCTGCTTCGAAGGCACAAATTGCAGAACCCAAAAAAAATGCTTGCGTGAAGCCAAGGATAAGACTAAAATCTAGATTCAAGATTCAAACTTCAAGTAATAGACAGTTAATCTCTGTGTCTGTGTGCAAATTTCAAATCAAAGTCAAAGCCTAGCCACTATTGATCTTTGCCAAACACCCAGTGGCTACGAGCTCACTCTATAAATTCCACGGCCTCATCTTTCTCTTCATCATCTTCTCTGTGTAAATTCTCTCTCAAACAGTCACGTAGTGAATTGGACTTTCCTGCGCGATCACTTGCAGGTACCCAAAAAAAAAAAGTTCCATATGGATGATCCTCTCTTCCTCCTCTTTCTTCCTGTGCGTCCTCTTCCTCCGACGATCGGTAAATCCAACTAGGACAGCTACATTCTACTCTGCAACATTCCAACGGTTACGGTGAATACATCTAAGGCGGCCGTCGGTGAATATAGGGCAGTCGTCCTAACTCGCCACCACCTAAATCCACCACTGGCTGATGGAAAAGAAAAAGTTGGTCGTTCTTTCTTGTATTTAGTTCTCAAATTAACAAATTAAGTAACTTAATATAAAATTAAGCAGATTTTAGCATCTAAATTCTTTATTTTGCTTTGATGGGTTCATGACAGAACTAGAGAAATAGAATAAAAGGGGCTAAATTAACAATTTACGTAATCATGATAATAGTACATTTGACTTCAATAAATTGAACTATGGCTGGGTTTAGGATATTAAATTTCCTGAAAAATATATTTAATATAAAGTAGTAAATGCAACTAAATAGTACAATCCAATGTCTAGACATGAGACATACCGTCACTACTATTAACACACTGAGTATTGTACATAAAATGAAATCATCTGCTCTTACAAGAAATGATTA